GTCTGGCAGGTTGTACATTTCTTTGACCAGTTGTTCTATCTTCTGTAGGTCGTCTGGCAGGTTGTACATTTCTTTGACCAGTTGTTCTATCTTCTGTAGGTCGTCTGGCAGGTTGTACATTTTTCTATGGTAGAAAAAGTTTCTCCTCTGGCTGGCCTAGGCATTCTGTTTCTCCAGCTTGAGAGTTCTAGCTAATTCCAATTTCCTGAAGGAATTTGTCGTTTGAACAGTCTGATAAAGTCAGGGACACAGGTGTCCCTTGAATGTTTTCATCCCTGCCAGGCCAGTTACACCTCTGAAGGTGTCTGAAGTTCTCAGGAAAATGCCTGCACCCCTTTTGGCTGAGGGGCAGCCACTGTCTCATGAGTACAACTTGCTCTTTCCTGTTAGCCCCAAGTGAGATGGCGGGTCAGTGCCTGGGCTGGATGTTTGGAGCATCTCCCTGAGCCTCCCTGCTCCGTCTCCCAGGAGTCTCTTCTGTATCCGGTTGAAGTTGTGTTTTTGTATTTCGGAGTAGGGATCGGCACATAAGACATTCCTTAGCGTTGTTTTCTTCCCCTCACATCCACAGTGAGCAGTGCAGATTCATTTCTTGGAGTCTGTAACTCAGCAGGAGTTTCCTTTGTTTATTTTAAGAGGGACTTGAGTACAGAGGTCTGGGACTTTACTGACCTTACATTCCAAAGCCCTGGGCTGCTGCAGCCAAGCCAGCTGCTTGCGCGACTCAAACACCCTCATCCTTCTCATCAACACTCTGCTTGCGGGTTCCGTCCTGCACTTCTGGCACATGGCCTGCTGTGGGTTTGTGTTGTTGCTTCTGATCCTTGTAAGCCTAGTGTGACAAGTGAGAATTGGGAAAGCCTTTTCCTAGGGGAATGGCCACCATCTGCAGTATCTCTTGGCCCCTGAGGGTGGGGATGGCATGCTCCTCTCTCTGTTCATCTTTTTGTTGGGGCTGTAGACATCTATTTTTGCAGGCAGGACTGTGATAATGGAGAACATTTCTGTTAGCTTTTTTACTTGCAGTGTACCTGTCGATAGCCCTGTCTCCCAGTAGTGGACAATGGGTGTGTGGGCATAGTGCAGAGACATGATTGAAGGCCTAGGCTGGGTAGGCTTGACTTGAGATTCTCGCCTTGTATTTACTGACTGTTCAGTAGGAACCTGACCAGGGGTTAGTGTGCATCTGTGTGAGAGGACAACTTTTGATAAGAACAGGGGATAGGAACTGGTCAAGTGGGGCAGGGACCCCAAATCAGCAGTTCTGAGAACGTCAAGAGAGGGTTCCGCTTCCTGTTTCTTTGCTATCTCCTGGTCTTAGTTGGGATTACTATTGCTTCATTGAAACACCATGACCAAAAGCAAGTTTGGGAGGAAAGGGCTTATTTGGCTTATGGTTCCATATCATAGTCCATCACCGAAGGAAGGCAGGACAAGAACTCAAGCAGGGCAGGATCCTGGAGGCAGTGGCTGATGCAGAGGCCATGGAGGGGAGCTGCTTACTGGCTTGTTCCTCATGGCTTACTCAATCCGCTGTCTTATAGAACCCAGGACCACCAGGCCAGCGATGGCTCCACCCACAATGGGCGGGGCCCTCCTCATCAATCACTAATTGAGAAAATATCCTGCAGGCTTCCCTACAGCTGGATCTTATAGAGGCATTTTCTCAGTTGGGGTTCCCTCCTCTCAGCTGACTCTAACCTGTGTCAAGATGACATAAAATTAGCCTGCACACTCCTAAATAAGCACGTCTGATTGTGGCCTTGGTGATTGTGTGACTGAAGTGAGAGAAGGCTCCTGGGGACCCACCTCATTGGGCCTGGACTAACAGCTCACCCTCCTCCCACACCCACTCTAGTTTCTGCTATAAGTTCTTTTAAAAGCCCCCCCCCCCAGACTAGCAGCTTGAAAAGAGCCCTATTTCTGGGACTCTCCTGTTATATGGGACTCTCTCACCCTCTCCCTCTTCTTCTCCCTCAACTCCATAAGCTCCTACCCATGATCTGGCAAAAATGGCAGAGGAAGGAGCCCCTTAGACCTTAGAGGATGAAGGGAAGTTGGTAGTGAGAGTCAGTAGCCAGGCTGCCTGCTCTCAGGCCGGAGGCAGAGAAGAAGGTGGAGCAGCAGGCATGGTGTCAACACCACAGCCTCAGTGCTACTGATGTCAGCTCACTTCCCAGAACGATGTCTTTCTGTTGGGAGTTCCTGCAGCTATTTCCACTGGCAGGAAAGTGAACTGGGAAAAGATAAGAATGAAAACTCGGGGCAGCTCCATGCCCCCCTTTTGTTTTTCCAAGATAGGGTTTGTGTAGCCCTCGTTGTCCTGAAACTAGCTCTGTAGACCAGGCTGGCCTCAGACTCACAGAGATCTGCCAACCTCTTCCTCTCAAGTGCTGGGATTAAAGGTGTGCACCACCCCTGCCTTGCAGACAGTGCCGTCATTGCCAGTACTCAGTCAAGGTCTCCAGTTGTTGTAGAATATTAAGATGTGTTACAGTTGTTTATGCTGTAAAACATTTGTTTAATGATGCAAAGATGTGTTGCATTCTTTTTTTTTTTTCTAAAAGATTCATTTATTTATTAAGTATACAGTGGTTTGCCTGCCTGTGGGCCAGAAGAGGGCACCAGACCTCATTACAGATGGTTGTGAGCCACCATGTGGTTGCTGGTAATTGAACTCAGGACCTTTGGAAGAGCAAGCAGTGCTCTTAAACTCTGAGCCATCTCTCCAGTCCGTTGCATTCTTTTATGTTGCATTTGTTTAATTCTGTGAAGCTGTGTTACTTGGCCTGTCTGAAGCACCCGATTGGTATAACAAAAAGCTGAATGGCCAATAGCAAGGTAGGAGAAAGGATAGGTGGGGCTGGAAGGCAGAGAGAATAAATAGAAGGAGAAAAAGAGAAGAAGGAGCAAGAGAACAAGGAGAGGGATCAAGGAGCGAGAAAAGAAAGGGCAGTCACCCACCACACAGTAAGAAGTAAGTAAGAAGACATGGAGTAAGAAGTACAGATAGGTATACAGAAATAGAGACAGGTAAAAGCCCAGAGGCAAAAGGTGGATGAGATAGTTTAGGAAAAGCTGGGTAGAAATAAGCCAAGCTAAGTTTGGGCATTTATAAGAAAGAATAAGCCTCCCTGTGTATTTATTGGGCACTGGGCAGCAGGTCCCCCAAAGAACTAAAGAGCAGGAGTACAAAGTAAAACAACCAACTACACTCTGGGATCTGAGCCTGTCTATTTTCCTTACATATTTAAACATAGTAGAAATTGTGGCTGATGGCCTTTGCAATAAGAATGGATTCTATTGGCTTATAAACAGAGAACAGGGCTAGGGCCAGAGGAAGGATCTGTGATAAGTGTAAAGGTAGATTCTCTTGGTGGAGAATGCAAAGAACCTGGTGCCTCTTTCATAGGGATGCGCTCTATTCACTGGGAGACTAAGCTAGGATTAGGGCCTGAACAGTGCTCAGGATTTTGGGGGATTCAGAAAGGCTGGCTCATAGAATACAGGAAAATCACTGGGTTGATTGACCACTTTTCCCTGTGGCGTTCCAGGTGACCAGGCACCCTTCCATTGAAGGTCCACGTGATTGACAGTCCTGGTTTATCCAATACCTGTTCTAAGCCACACTTCCTACACGTCTCTGTGAGAGGGTAGGACTTCCTTATGGATACGGCATGTGGTTGATGGACTCAAAGTCCTGTGCAAAATGAACATATGGGGATGCTTTCCCTCTGTAAGAAATTAAAAGTGTTTGGTTGGTAGTCTTAACCATACACATATATACCTGTGCATATTCTTGTGCACATGTGTACACAGGCCAGAGTTGACTGTGGGTGTCTTCGTCAATCACTGTCTACCTTTTATCTTATCTTTTTGATTTTTCGAGACAGGGTTTCTCTGTGTAGCCCTGGCTGTCCTGGCACTAGCTCTGTAGACCAGACTTGCCTCAAACTCACAGAGAGCCGCCTGCCGCTGCTTCCCAAGTGCTGGGATTAAAGGCCACCTTTTATTTTTTTGAGACAGGTCTCCCATTAAACGTGGAACCCTCAGATTCAGCATTCTGACTAGCAAGCTCCAAAGGTCCTCTTGTCACGCCAGCACTGGATTACAGGGTGCACCAGCACACCCAGATTTTACATGGGTCCTGGGGATCTTACACAGATCCTCACGTTTGCAGACCATGTACCTTGCCAGAATATGACCACCTGAACTCCTGAGGTTTATTATTTAAAAACCATTTTTTTTCTAATTTTTTTGGTTTAAAGTTGTGATTCTGTGGAGCTGTTTGAAATATCTTAGGTAAACAGTCTTTTAAAAAGTTTTATTGGGGGGCTGAAGAGCTGGTTCAGGGTTTAAGAGCTCTTCTAGAGGTCCTAAGCACCCACATAGTGGCTCACAGCCATCTGTAGTAGGATCTGGCGCCCTCTTCTGACCTTCAGGTGTACATGCATAACACTCACACATTTAAAAAAAAATACTGATGTGCTTGAAAATTTTCACTGTTGGAGAAAGTCAGCTGTGTCCTCTCCTGAGCCTGCGGCAAGGCCTGTCCATGCTCAGTTTGGAGGTTTCCTGAATGCTAAGTAGATGTTACATGACAATTATATATTAGATGCCTTCGTGTGTGTGTTGTGTGTGTATGTGTGTGTGTGTGTGTGTGTGTGTGTGTGTCTGCTCTCTCAGCGAGTGAGTAAAGAACACATCTCACTTATCAGGTTCACCAAGGCTATTTAGACAACCTTGTTGGAAGACATTGGTGCCTCTGAGGGTCAACCCTTCCAGCTAGGTCTTTTCAAACATGAAGCAGTAAAAGCATTATCACTTCTCCCCTCTTTTCAGATCTAATGTTTTGGCATGGCTTCCTGCTTCAGTGCTGTCAGTGGGTATAATCTATGCAGGGTCCAGAGCTTTGTCCAGACTGGTAAGTGTTAGAATGTGTGTGTGTGGGGGGTACACAACCCCTCTTTCCTTGTTGCCTTTTGTGTTTTAATTTATTGCACCCGGCATCCGTGGGGGCCAACATCAGCTGGAATGAAAAATTAGATCAGAGAACAGAGCTGTTGGTCAGCTTACTGTAGCTGTAATCAAAACACCAAGGGAACAACTTAAGGAAATATATTTTGGCTCACTGTTTCAGAGGGTCCCAGACTGAGTCCTTGCCTCTTAGGTGTTGGGCCTGTGGTGAGGTTGAGCATCAAGCAATGGAGGATGTGGTTGAGCTGTTCACCCCATGACAGATGGGGACAGCGAGATAGAAGATGGAGGACCAGGAGTAACTTTCAAAGGCCTGTCCCCAGTAACTTACTGGAGGTCTTGCTGCCTATAGTTTCCAGACTTTCCCAAACAAGTACCACTACCCGGGGACCAAGCTTGCAGTGTGTGAGCCCTTCTGAGGGGACCCTTGATATCCAAACCCTGACAGAGAAACCTGGGCCTGAGATAACAGGAAGCATCTTTTTCTACTTTCATTGAACTGCAGATAATTAGAGAATACGACAGGGCCAGCTTTCTCACAAGGCGGAGGTGGGCAAAGAGACACAGTAGCAACAGCTGTGAAGTCTGCCGCGGTCCAGCCTCACTTGAGCAGCTCTGACATGAAGACCCTGTGCCTGCTGCTGAGGAGTCGGACCTGGGTTGCTATAGGAGAGCCTTTTTGTACACTGTGAAGATGTGTCTCTGCCAAGGCACTTTCTGGTTGAGTTAATAAAGAGCTGAATGACCAATAACTAAGCTGGAAAGGATAGGCAGTGGGATTCTGGGCAGAGATAGGAACTCTGGGAAGAAGAGAGGTGGAATTCATGAGCCAGACCCAGAGGAAATGGGATGTACAGTATAGAAGGGAGGCAATGAGCCGCGTGGCGGAACATAGTTAATATAAACAGGTTAATTACATTTTAAGAGGTAGATGGGAAGAAGCCTAAGGCAAGGACAAACTCTCATAACTGATAATAAGTCCCTGTGTCACGATTTGGGAGCTGGTGACTTACAGAAAGTCCAACAGCACCGGTTGCATTGATAAAATGGTCCAGGGGATGCTGGATGCAGCTGTGAACACAAGTGTGGGATAGAGTGGAGCAGTATCGGGGGGACTAGTAACATGAATTGTCCATTCTGTCTTCCTGTTCCTCATCCCCCCTGCTTCAGGACTGAGCTCCTCAACTGTGTGGTTTCTGAGGAACAGATGTTTCCAAATGCATTATCCGGAACTCTACACTGCAATCCATTAAAACCACATGGACTTAGAAATCAAGATGGTATTAAAGCCTCCTCTCACCTTATCAACTTTTATTTTTATTTATCAGAAAATAACTGTATCTGCCTTTTGGAAAAGTACAGAATTTGCAAAATAATTTAGTCTTTTTATAGTGTTTGCTGTTATGTTAGTTCTTGAGTTCTCAGATGTAAAACCAACAAAGTCTGTCTCGCTGGGTAACAATATTGTTCGGACAGCTTCAGAGTTATAGAATAGCAGTGGAGAAAGTAATTTGGAAGTTAAATCATTTCTTTCATGATTTATACTGTTGAGGAGATGGAGGCTCAGGATTCAGCCTGCAATCGCCCAGCCTTGGTAGAGGTAAGATTTCTCTAGTGGCTTGGCTGTTTTGCTTTTCTGATCTTCAGGCAACCTTTATTAAGACATAAATAAAATATCATTATATGTGTGTGCATATGTGGATTTTAGAGGTCAACAATAGGAATCTTCTGTCATGCTCCACTGCACGTGTGTGACACACACAAACACACACACACACACACACTACATTTGAGACATGGTATCATAAACTTTCAGCTACACTAGCTGGGTAGTGAGACCCTGGGATCTGCCTGCTTCCACCCTTTCTACCATTGCAATTACAGATGTGCCCCTTCACACCTGGCTTTTAGGGTACAGATGTGCCCCATTACACCTGACTGATGTGCCCCTTCACACCTGACTTTTAGGGTACAGATGTGCCCCATTTACACCTGGCTTTTAGGTTACAGATGTGCCCCTTTACACCTGACTTTTAGGGTACAGATGTGCCCCATTTACACCTGGCTTTTAGGTAGTTTCTGGAAATCTGAACTCAAGTCCTCATGCTTGTGCATTGAGCGCTTTATCCACTGAACCATCCCTCCAGCTCTCCTTTATATCTTTATGTGAGTCATTGTCACTGGGCAAGTGATGGATGAGGCAAAGACCAGTGACCTAATGGAGGAAGAGGCGTAGGTGTAGAGTCCTGCCTCCAGTCCCCACAAAGTAGCAACTCCTCTGATGTGCCATATGTTGTCTTTTTCAGATTGGTCTCCTTAAGAACTAATCCATATGGACTATTTTTTTTTTAAAAAAAAGGCCTTTTAAATTTTTTATATAATTTAATTTTTTTAAATGTTCATTGGTGTTTTACCTGCATGTGTGTCTGTGTGTGGGTGTCAGATCCTCTGGAACTGAAATTGCAGTCATTGTGAGCTGCCATGTGGGTGCTGGGAATTGAACCTGTGTTCTCTGGAAGAATCAGGTCTCTTAACTGCTGAGTCCTTTCTCCAGCCTGGACTTTTTCTATTTTTAAAGACTGTCTTTCTGTGTAGCCCAAGTGCCACAGAACCTGGCCACTTAGAATCTGTGTGAGTACACGTGTGTGCCATAGAGTCTGACTACGTAGAGTCTTTTTACTTTGTTCGAAAGCCCACTCTAGTCTAGGCAGTCAGGAAGGGTACTTGTTCGTGTAAGTAAGTTTTAGGATAGAGACTCACTTCAGGCCTGGCAGGATCCAGAGGGAGTGACATACCCAGAAAATCCACTGCTGTCTTGCACTTCCACAGGGTATCTGTCCAGTGTCAGTGCCGATCACCCCAGCCTCACCTCCTCTCCATTCATAAGGAGACTGTCTTCCTCATGGCTCTTATCTGAATCCCAGACTTCACTTAGATTGGGTCCTTGTGGTCACTGCCCATGGCTGTTCTGCAGACTTGTTGGGAGGGTGAGGCCGTGTTTCCTAGTCTGCCATGCACCTTAGCTTTGCCATCTCCCACTGCAGCCGAAGAAACGTGGAGCACAGACGGGAGGAGACAGAGGCTCCCGGCTCAGTCTGCGGTGGGGTGGCCAGACTGAGAAGAGGGTGCGGCTGTTCTCAGGTTTTCAGGCACCTTGCTTAACAAAGGACTCAAATATCTGATGGCTAAAATCCCTCAGAAAACCCACCTGAAATCCCCATTCAGTCTGTTCTCAGCAGTCAGAGCTCTGCACTTTAGAACGGTATCAGGAAGATAATTTCTGGGCAAGCCTGTCTTTAGCTTGCTCTTTGGTTACAAGGTTTACACCAACTTCAGCCCTAAAATACACCATTCAGTTGAGCTGTCTTGTGGTTTACAACAGAACTTTTTGAAGAAGTTGAATTACATTCTAGTTTAACCAATTGACTTCCACTTTCATCTGAGTTCCCGAGCCTGACAGTTGAGTGGACTAACCTAGAGCATCTATGGCCTTGTCTAACAGGCAAAGAGAAGCTGCTCAAATCAGACCTGTTAGAGAAAGAACTCCCACCCCATATACCCACTGGAAGTGGGAGGACAGTGAGTAGGAGAACCTGTTGTTCAGTGAGAGAATTCAACGTAGCATCTTTTCCGTTCTTTGCTTTCCCGTTGCTGCGTAGCCATTCCCCGGCTGGATAAACACGGGGCACTCAGACAGTTTGTGTTGGATGGAGAAAAGCCCTCACAGTTCTGCTGCCAGCCTGCCAATTAACGAATCCAGGAAGACTTGGGGATGCGTGCAGTTAAAATCGTGGGTGTATTGTTATATGAAACACTTTTGAGTAGATCTGACAAAGCCTTGAATCTGTCTGATGTACGGCATCCGGGAGCTGAGTCAGCTTTGCAGGGCCCCATGGGGGAGTTCTTTGGGTTCCCCACACTACACTACAGCTGACTGATTCTGTAGAGGTTAGAAGAGAAGAGAGCATCCCAAAATTGTTTGTTGTCATTGTTATCTTTTTATTTCATCGGCCCCAGGCTCAAACTCTGTGTAGCTGAGGATGACCTTGAACTTCTGATTCTCCCGCCAACCCCTCCTGAGTGCTGGGATGACAGAGGTGCACGGGCATGCCTGACATATGTGTTGGTGACAGCTGCTGTGGGCTCCTGTCATGTCCAGACACCCTTTCCGTTCAGTCTTCACTGGTCTCGGGCTCCCTCAGTGTTGGCCCCAAGTTCTGTGCAGAGGTGTGAGAGGTGCGGCGTGTGGCCGAGTGCCCCAGAGACACTTGTTCCTGCAGGCACCAGGCATGCACTTGTCCACAGACATATATGCAGGGAAACACCCACAGATGTTAAGTATAGTTTGTGTGAAGAAAAAGGAAAGTGCGTATACTAACTCCTGGTGACCCTGCTTCATTCCCATCGGGGTGACTGTTGCCAACCACAAGTGCTGGTAAGGATGTGGGGAAATCTGGATGCTCAGGCATTGCTGTCAGAAACTGGGAATAGTGTGGCTGCTGTGCAGAACAGTGTGGTGGTTCATGAAAAAAAAAAAAACTAAAAATTGCCAGGTGTAGTGGCACGTACCTGTAATTCTAACATGTCAATGCAGGATTGCCAAGAATTTAAAGCCATTCAGGGATATATAGTGAATTACAAGATGATCTGGGCTACAGTGTAAGATGCACTCTTAAAAACAAGTGTCTTCAAGATTGCTTTCTATGGAGAGGGCCTGCCTGCATGCAATTGTTTTATAGAATACATTAAGGACATATCTACATATTTAAAAATCATCTAAAGAGAAGAAACAGGACTGTCATTCTTTTTTTTTTTAAAGATTTATTTATTTATTATGTATACAGTATTGTCAGTATTCTGTCTGCATGTGTGCCTGCAGGCCAGAAGAGGGCACCAGATCTCCTTACGGATGGTTGTGAGCCACCATGTGGTTGCTGGGAATTGAACTCAGGACCTTTGGAAGAACAGGCAGTGCTCTTAACCACTGAGCCATTTCTCCAGCTCCAGGACTGTCATTCTTTTACAGAAATTAAGAAGCTAATGTAGGGAGCCAGTGAGATGCCTCAGCAGGTAGATGTGCCTGCCAGTAAACCTGAGGACCCTAGTTGTTGGAGAAAGAAAATTATCTCCTGAGGACCCAAGTTCAATCCCTGGGACCTGCTTGGTGGAAAAAGAATTACTTCCTATAGGCTGAGGACCTGAGTTCAATCCCTGGCACCCGCTTGGTGGAGACAGAATTGACTCCTGTAGGCTGAGGACCCGAGTTTAATCCCTGGGACCCGCTTGGTGTAGAGAGAATTACCTCCTGTAGGCTGAGGACCTGAGTTCAATCCCTGGGATCCACTTAGTTGGGAGAGAATTACCTCCTATAGGCTGTCCTTTGATCTCTTCTTGAGATCACACACTCACCCACTCCCTCCATGCACAGAAATAACTAAAATGTAATAACACTAATAAGGAGAAGCTAACCCAGGAGCGTGCTTGACTTAGGGTCATCTATACCTCTGTAGATTGACCAAAGGCCATGCCTGTGGTCAGGACCAGGGTTTTCTATGGGAAATTTTTCTGAGACTTCAAAATTGTATCCCAGGAAGCATGAGAATAATGACAAACTTCTAAGTTCATAGTTAACAATTTATCTTCATATCAAAGAATTTTATTTGTATGTGGGTGAAATATTAATTACTTAGTTGTGGATTGTACACCCATACAATTAAATGAAATGGCCTGAGGTACAACGTGATAAATTACATTTGGCAGATTTGTTTCCAGAATCATGATTTGGGCTCTTTGGTGGCTGATGATAGGAACTTGTCTTGTTGAGATCATCCCAAAAGTCATAAGGGTATAAAAATAAACTCCCTCAGTCCTCCGTAGGGGAAACAAATATCTAGAGTGGCCTCAGCTGGGGTGTGGCTCAGAGTAGAACCTTGCCTAGCACGTATGTCTTTGGGTCAGGCCTTGGCAATTTCAATGATGACAACTCAGAAAAAGTGGTTTTAAGCAATTAATAGCAGGTTAAGAACCAGAAGCAATCTGTCCCTCAGTTTTCTCATCAGTGTAGTGGGGATGTTAATGGTGAGTAAGCAGCAGTGGCCGTCTGGTGTATGGTAAACACTCAGTGTTTTCTACCTACTATTATTACAGTCGCCACATGTCATAATTTTTGTCTAATTTAACCCACGTAGGTCCTGCTGAAGTTAAGCCTATGAGGGTAATAAAGGGCAGTGTGTGGCTGAGTGTGAAATACCCCTATAGACTCCTGTATCCAATCACTTTTGGACCCCAACTGGTGCCACTGTATTTCAAGGCCACAGAACCTTTAGGAGGTGGATCTTTGCTAAAGGCAGTGGGCCACTTTCCTGACTGTGGTTGTCTGAATGAGAATGACCCCCATAGGCTCATATGTCTGAATGTCCCCTGTTAAGGAAGGACTAGGAGTTGTGTCACTGGGGTGTTTGTTGACAGATGTTTCTGTCCCACCTGGTCCCGCAGCCGGTCAGTCCCAAAGAAATACACATAGGTCTACATTTATTATAAACTGGTTGGTCTAGTAGCTCAGGCTTCTTATTAGCTCTTTTTTTTTAATTGAGCTCTACATTTTTCTCTGCTCCCCTCCCTGTCTTTCCCTTCCCCTTCAGCCCTCTCCCAAGGTCCCCATGCTACCAATTTACTCAGGAGATCTTGTCTTTGTCTACTTCCCTTACTAACTTTCATAACTTGTATTGACCCATAATTCTTGTCTGTGTTAGACATGTGGCTTGGTACCTTTCATCAGCGAGGCATTCTCATCCTGCTTCATCTGTGTCCGGATGACACCTGCAGACTCACCATTTCCTTTTCCCAGAATTCTCCTGTTCTTATCGCCCCACTTCTGCTTCCTGCCTGGTCGCCTGACTTATACTTCTTGCCTGGCTACCGGCCAATCAGCGTTTTATTAAAATAATACAGTGACAGGATACAAGACCATTGTCCCACAGCAGGTGGGTGGGCTTTGGGTTTCAAAAGCCCATGCCATTCCTAGGTAGCTCTCTCTGCCTCATGGTTGTTGCCTCCAGACGTGAGCTCTCAGCTGCTGCTCCAGCGCCATGGCTGCCTCCTGCTGCCGTGCCCCCTTCCATGATGGTTGATCATGACTCTAATCCTCTGAAACTGTAAGCAAGCCTGCCGTATAAGTTGCTGTGGTCATGTGTCTTATCACGGCAATAGAGCAGGAACTAGAACACTGACTACGGAGGCAGTGTGACTAGCTTCCTCTTGCGGATGATGGTGCCACATGCCTTCCTTCCCTGTCAGTCATGATGGACGGGATCCCCTCAAACTGTGAGCCAGAATAAATCATACTCTCTTAACTTTCTCTTTGGATATTTGGACCCCGCAATGGGGGAAATGCTTTGGTGTTCCCAAGGCATCAGGCAACAGCAAGCCTCTAGAACCAAAACAGCAGGTTGTTGTTGTTGTTGTTTTTTTTTTTTTTTCTTTAGTTTTTTGAGATAGGGTTTCTCTGTAGCTTTGGTGCCTGTCCTGGCACTAGCTCTTGTAGACCAGGCTGGTCTCAAACTCACAAAGATCCGCCTGCCTCTGCCTCCCGAGTGCTGGGATTAAAGGTGTGTGCCACCACCGCCCGGCAACAGCAGGGTTTAGAGTGAGGATTTTGCAGCTAGAGGCCAAGGAAGCTTTGGCTTTGCTTTTGGTCGATCTCTGCCCTGGGGATACAGTTTAACTGGTCAGCTGTGGGCTGGCTGTCTCTAATCTGTTAGCTTTTCAGTAGGAAAAATGGCTTGAGAAACTTAGATTTAAAACTTAAGGAAGAATCAGTGATACCTCCTTTAAAACAACACAGCTTTGGTTAGAGCTTACCCGTTTTAGAGCTTAGCAGTTTTATTGCTGCCACGATTTGCTTTTTTTTTTTTTTTGTCACAGCATCTCACTCTGTAGCCCAGGCTGGCCTGTACCTCATTCTGTAGCCCAGGCTGGCCTGTAACTCACTCTGTAGCCCAGGCTGGCCTGTAACTCACTCTGTAGCCCAGGCTGGCCATGAACCAGCAGTGATCCTCCTGCCTTAGCCTCCTGAGTGCTAGAACCACAAGGATAAGGCACACCTCTAACTAGCTGTCAGGATCTGGTTCATACTAGTCCTGTTGAACCTGGACAGTGGCAGGGTCACTGGGATTTACATCCCTCTTGGGATTTAAATGTCACAGCAGAGCAGCTTGCCTGGAAGTCTCAGAGACTTGGTCCTCCTTGTCTGTGAGGCTCATAGCTACAGTGTCATCTGCTTTGGAAGAGGGTTAAGGAACAATGCAAAGTCAACAATTGCTGACTGTTAGCACACTGGGTGTTGAGCTGCGTGCTTGTAATCTCACCTCTAGGAGGCCAGCCTGGGCTGTATAACTCATAGATCCTGCCTCCAAAATAAACAATCCTGGGGCAACTTGGAGCTGTTAATCATGTGACATTATCCATGTGCTTGTTATCTGTGTGCTTGGAATCAGTTTTATGCCTACAGACAGGTCCTGTTGCAGCTGCTGGTCAGCCAGGCCAAGGGAGACGGAGACAACTGCCCACAGTGTGTAATTAGATAGTTAAACCTCCTCTGGGTCCTTAGTTCAACTCCAAAGTTCTAAATTCTCAACCCCAAACTTAATCTCATTTCTGGATTCATAGTCAAGAAACCAAAAGCCATGGTCACTTCTTTGTCATCAACTAGTCAAAAAGTCTATTTTAAAATTCTTAGCTTGATCAGCTCCAGGCACCCTATCACATGATAAAGCTGCCCACTTCTGTGTTTTAAGACCTTGTTTCCACAATGAAGGCTTGCTCTTCCCTCGCTGGGCTCGCTGTGTCTTGCAGGATACGCCCCCTGAGCTCCTGCATGCTGGGGACAGTGTGTCCACCATGCTCATGGGATTTGTGCCCTGCACCTGGCGTGGTGCATGATACAGAGGAGGTACTTAAGTCTGAGGATGAAAACCCCATAGGAGAGGAACCTTGAATACACCCCACCAAAATTAATACTTCAAGGGCTAGAGAGACAACTCAGTGGTTAAGAGTACTTGCTGCTCTTGCAGAGAACCCAGGCACTGTTGTTAGCACCACAATATAGTGGCTCCCACTTCTGTAACTCCAGTTCCAGTGAATCTGATACCTTCTGGCTTCCACTAGCCATGCCTACACATGGTACACAAATATGCATGCAGAAAACCTACTCATAGAATAAATAAATAAATCTTGGAGGAAGAATGAAGAATACTTCAGCAAAGTGCTGGTCTAGAAGATTATTTGCTGGAGAGACTGAAGGCTGCATGTTCCCACACACCTTATTTTTAAACAAAAGTCAAGTAACTGAAAGATGGGAGAATGTATTTTGATGCTTGCTATTCTGTTTGCTTTCAGGCTGTTCCTGTGTTTTTCATTTTGCATAATGTAGCTGAAGTTCTCATCTTCGGGTATCAGAAGTGTGTCTGGAAGGAGGTAAATAAGCAAACTGCCTTAAAAAAATGTTTCACAGCCCTTACTTTAAACGTCAGAGACCCACTTTTCACTCGGTAGCCTGTCCTAGTTAGGGTTCCTGTTGCTCTGATGAAACACCAGAAACAACTAGAAGTGAGGGCAGGAACCTGGAGGCAGGTGCCGAGGCAGAGGCCATAGAGGGGTGCTGCTCACTGGCTTGCCTCCCTGGCTTACTCCGCCTGCTTTCTCAGAGAACCCAGGACCACCAGCCCAGGGGTGGCTCCACCCACAGTGGGCTGGGCCCTCTCACATCAATCACTAATTATGAAAATGCCCTATAGGCTTGCCTGAAGCCCAGTCTTGTGGAGGCTTCTTCTCAATGGAGGTTCCCTTAGCTTGGGTTAAGTTTACATTAAAACCAGCCAGCACATAGCCCAAATGTAAGCCCTTTTCTCCCACCAGTTCCAGTGAAGACTGCCTGACAGTGGTCACTGATTCAGGGGACCCAGCTTGCTTGATGATGGGCAGTGCAGCTGGACCCCAGGCCAGGGAAGAACCAGACCTTCAGGACACAGAATTTGGTGTGGGAAATCACTCTCACTTGTAGCTGGTCGCAACAGCACAAGGAAGCCCACAGCTGAGTGTCGTACAAGGTGCTGGCCTTTGCTCGCTCGCGGAGACTGACTCTTCTTTCAACGCCTAGCCTTATCTGACACTGTAAGGAACTAGAAGATCACCCGAGTCTTTGAATGAGTGGAGCTACAGTTAGGGATGCCTGTGTTGGAGCATTTTCCCAGACAGAAAGACTAGGGACCAGAAGAAAGATCAGCAAGCAGTAATGAAGAGAGGAACAGTTAGGAGAAGCCAGACCTCGAAGGGCGAGGCAATGAGGGAAGACCAGGGAGGTGAGTGAAGGAGCAGACAGTCCACTGAGCCTTTGCCCATCGAGGCTTCTGTTGGCTAGCGAAGGGACGTTTCCTTCTGCCCCATGATATGAGCTTTGGGCACAGAAATCGCATTTTACCTCCTCAGGCCAATGAAGTTAAAAAACGACCATACAAACCATTACTGTTGGTTTTAACTATGCAGTCTGAAGGTTAGGTATTTGAGATAGGGGATGGCTAACTGTGTTTGTTACTGTGAGTTTGGCTTTGTTAGAATATCTGTCATCACTTTACGTGTTGACTCTGTGGTTAGTTTAGTGCCCAAGATGCCCTTCTCATGTACCTCAGGCTAGCCTGTAACTTGCTCTGTAGCTAAGGGCTATGCATCTGTTCCACCCAGGGCTTCATGCATGCTCTCCAAGCACCCTACCATTGAGCTATAGCCCCCCAACCTTTTCTGGTGCGTGTGTGAGTGCATGTGTTATGGTTTGGTGACAGGGCATTATTTTCTCTGTATCCCTAGTTGACTTCCTTTGACTCTCCTCCCTCAGAGCAGAGCCCTATGATAAACCTCTTTATACCCCAGGAGCAAGCCCCAGGGTTTCTGAGTTTCAAGTTCAGCTGCTGAACTTTTTTTGAGGTGGGGGCTGATCACATTACTCGAGTTTTTAAGCCATGAGTTCAGAAATGAAGGCCTGTACCCCGACAGAGTTCTGCTTCCTGGTTTGGTCAGGAAGATTCTACAGATGAGGGATAAAAATCAAGTCAAGTTGAGAGAGTAATCTCAGGACTTTTCTGACCTCAGGGAGACCCTTCTTTACTTGCAAATTAGGATCAGGCTTCTGGCTGAAAGGATTAGTGATAGTAACTAGGGAACACAGAATATTTAGAGTCTTTAACTCTATTTCCTTATTCACACAAACCAACAAGCCATTTCTTTCTTTTTCTTTGAGTCAGGGTATCGTTTAGCCCAGGCTATTTCAAACCTCTAACTCACTGTGTAGCTGAGGATGACCTTGAAACTCTAACCCTGAGGTGTGTACAACACACCTGGCTAGCACCAGTTCTGATCAGAGTAAATGCCAAAGCAAGCAAGTGGGTGAGAATTTTAGTCACAGACCTTTGGCTGGGGACATAGCTCAGCTGGTAGTGTCCTTAGCTCGCATTTCCTACAGCTGTTTATATCTTACTACCTTCACTATGGAGAGAGGTCTGTGGGTTTTCTGAGAGACAGGGTCTCACACATCCTTGCACACATATAGATGTACTGACACAATGGCTTTTTCATCTGTCAAGTCTCAGACAGCCTACTGCTGTTGCTGCCCCATGTTGGATGAGTGTATGTGAGCCAGTCCCTGTTTGCTCACATGTAGGTTTTTTTTTTCTTTTTTAACACTTTGTCATTAAAATCTTCTTTGAGATGAAGATTTCTGGATTTCCGTTTGTTCGTTTTTTTTTTTTTTTTTTTGAGTCAGAGCCTCATTTTGTAGCTCTACCTAGTCTGAATCTCACCCTGTAGACCGATGCTGGGCTTGGACCACAGAGCTCTCCCTGCCTCTGCCTCCTCAGCACTTGGCCTTGAACTCTTGATCCTCTTGCTTCTGCCTCCACAGTTCTGGGACCCCAGGTTTGTACCAAGAGTTCTGGAATCCTGGAGACACTCTGTAGCCCAGGACCTGAAATGCCACCTGTGCCACCTCCTTGTTGTGTGATATGTTCTTACGTCATTACAGCTGAGAACCTGGAAGAATATCTTTCTGTGAGGAACACAGCACTCTCCCCATCACACGCTGTCAGATGTTACAGTCAGGGCCACTGAGGGGTCTCTTTGGGCAAGAGCTGCCTCCAAGCTGTGCAACCAAGTTTGGGTCTTGGAACCTACACAATGGAAGAAAACTGACCGCCATGAGCTGTCCCCAGACCTGCTGATGTGCCCCCACTAATAATAAATGTCAAAAATTATGAGAAGAGTTGGCTTTACCGTTATATATAAATTTATAAACTAGAGAGTAGAACTGACTCCTCCTGGTATCATTCCCAGATTACGTGAGTTTACTTGGTGCAGAGCCTGCAGTTCTTTTTCCACCACCCGCAGCTCATTCTGTGTGTTCTCTCTCAGTCGTGCCGCCCCTCCCCCTGCAGGGTCTGGCTGGAAGGGGATGGTGGCTTGTGGGATTAGCCTCATGGCCTGGTGTGTTAGAATACTGCCTCTGTTGGCTTGCTTTTCATCGTGTGTTGTTTGTACTAAAAGAGAGGAAAGTATATTCACGACCGTTGTGAAGCTCAGAGTTGAGTAGGGAAGAGCCGACGTTAACATGTGGGCTCTGACGCCCCAAGGATCATATGTGGGCTGCAGCCATGTGTGGGGACCACAGGGAAGCCTTTCCAGTGAGCTATGTGGGATGGCTGGGGTTTTCTACACTTCAGGTAGGCAGAGGAAGCCATTGAAGGCTGGTGGCTAAAGGTCAGGGAGGTTATCACTGAAGAACTGGCTGTGCCATTAAAGGGTCGGGTATGGAACCAGAATGTGGAGCCTAAACCCCAAGACCTTGGACAACCTCTTCCCTAATTTCCTTCATGTCTTGTCTGTCGACCATAATTATACTAGACAGTACAGGTAAAGCCCGGCACACTCGAATCCGTGCTTGCAGAAAATTAGACTATCCACAGTGATATCTGGATTGTATCTTATTGTAATTGTCATGTTGTTGCGGGAGGTCTTTCCGCCCCTCCAACCAATAGCTGCTGTGATACCAGCCCATTGGGGCGTGGTCTCACTCCCTTTAAAAAAGCGGCTATTTCCTCTGCTCGCTCTCTTCTCTTACGGCTCCGCTGGAGACGAGACTCCCTTCCTGGTTGCGCAGATGGCTGTTGTCTGGGATTGTGATCTGTAAGTTTTTCCCCTTTAAATAAATAACACCCTATTAATCATAACTCCAAACTGGTGTTGCCTTGTTCGTGACTTATGCCTTCATCATGTGACCATTTCTCTTGGGAACTAGGGTCTTTCTCACTGTGTAGTTCTGGCTGGCCTTGACCTTACAGCTCTCCTGTCTCAGTCTCCCAAGGGCTGAAGCTATATGCCTGTGCTGCCATACTCAGCTGAGATAGGACTTCCCAGGAGTTGCATTTTGTAACCCCAAGCCCTGAGATATTGGGAGTATTAGTTCTGGAGCAAGGCCCTGAAAATGAGAATGCCTTACAGTAATGACCAAGTTGTTCTCAGAGCGCTAGGGGAATGGCGCTATGCAGTGAGCTTCGATTGTGTTATCACTCCGTTTCTCAGCCTCTTTAGTCTGTCTGAAAGGGTGTGAAATTTACAAAAGATCTGGGCATGGTAGCTTATACCTGTAATCCCAGTTCTCAGGAGGCTGAGGCAGGAAAGTTATTTTGACCAGCTTGAGCTATATAGTGAGTTCCAGGCCAGTCTGAGATACAGAGTGTGTCTCATGAAAACAAAATAATTGGGTTTGGTGGTACACTCCTGAATCCCTGGAAGGTGAGTGAGTTCAAAGCCAACCTGAGATACATGATACCCTGTACTGAAAGAAACAAAGCCCAGACTAAGTAAAATGGGTGGGGGGCAGTTAATTTAATGAAAAAAAAAAAAAAAAAAACCTCTTCCTGACCTCTTAGGAACTGGATCGCTCTGTGTCGTAAACCCTGCAGTGGTTGCTGGGAAGACATGTTATTCTTAGCAAAGGTAGAGTGGCCCCACAACCCGTGCCCTCTGTGCTTGCTTTCAGCCAGACTTGTGAGGGCTCCACTATCTTTAGCTTCTAATATAGCTTGAAAGACAGCACGTTTTACAATAACAAGATCCAAGATGCAGGTCTTATGAGCCCAGGCACTCTACCCACTAGGGGGCAGCACAGCCATGCTTGCCCATGCTCGCCAGGCTTGTTCAAAAGACCCCAAAGATACAAGTCATAGCTTTGTTCTCGAATAGAAGCTGCTTATTAAAAGAACAAAAATTTGATCACTTACCAGCGTGTGAAAACTGAATGTATCCTGAAGAGCAGACCACATTTTTCTTTTGTCAGTGCTCTCTCTCTTTCTCTCGTGCTGGGATGATAGGGGTGTGTCTCTGTGCCTGGTTGATGATAGGGGTGTGTCTCTGTGCCTGGTTGCAGCACTGTTCTAAGCAACACACCATCTGAACAGGCGACAGAAGTTGTAGCTTGTCCCAGATACTAAAATGATCCTGAAATATCCAGATTTAAGCTGTCATTCTTCCTCCTATTTCATCACAAAGCAGAAAAATCTGTGTGACTCTGCTGAAACTTTACTCTTCTGTGCCACGGGTTAATTTTACTTGATCTGATTAAAAAGATGGAGAGAGTCCACTTTAAGTGCCAGGTTTACACTCTCCCAACCTGCTGTTTCTTCCTTCTCTCTGAGGGTGAGATAAATGCTCTTTATCCCCATTTCTGTTTCCAGAATTTCTGTTAGACCAGAGAATGTCCAACATTGCCCAGTCAGAGCCGGGTGAGTGAAAGGGATCTTTAGGGAGACACAGGAGTGGCTGTGCACAATGATGCTTGCTTGGAGTTACTGCTACATAGGAGGCTGAGGCAGGATCGGTTGAGTTTAGGAGTTCAAGGACAGCCTGGAAAATATAACAAGACTAGTCCTCTTCCCAGAACCATTAGCTCTGACAGGAGATATGGCTTAGAGGTCTTGACTCCTTTCTGCCTTCGCAGAGGACCTGCGTTTGGTTCCCAGCACCCACTCTGAGTGTCTTATAATCAGACACCTTGTAACTCCAGCTCTGGCCTCTGTGGGCATCTGCATGTATGTGGTGCATGTAAAGTCACACACACACTCACACACAAATAATAATATATTTTTAAAAATCAGTAAACAAATGAATACATACACAGAGACTAGAAGTTGAACTAGAGATTAGTTTCTTATCCGGTGTAGATCACATTGACTTCTCTCCATGTCCTTGGATTTGTGTTTAAGATTTGAAAATTGACACCGACATCATCTAGTTCATAAACAAACATGGTACCCGTGATCAGAGTGCTTTGGCAGAGAACTCTGCCGCCACCTGTCATTCTTTGTCCAAGCAACAGGAAGCAGCAGGAAACACTAGGGCAGCAAGCTCTCTTTAAAACAGAAAAGATTTATTTACTTATGTATTTTATGTATATGGAAATTTTGTCTTCATGCATGCACCCCAGAAAAGGGCATCGGATCCACAGGACTGCCGTTATAGATAGTTATACGTCACCGTGTGGATGCTGGGAATTGAACTCGGGACCTTTGGAAGAGCCACCAGAGCTCTTAACTGCTAAGCCTTCTCTCCAGCCCCGGCAGTGAGCTCTTTTTTTTTTTTTTTTATTAAAGATTTCTATCTCCTCCCCATCACCGCCTCCCCTTTCCCTCCCCCTCCCCCAATTAAGTCCCCCTCCCTCGTCAGCCCAAAGAGCAATCAGGGTTCCCTGCCCTGTGGGAAGTCCAAGGGCCACCCACCTCCATCCAGGTCTAGTAAGGTGAGCATCCACGAAACTGCCTAGGCTCCCACGAAACCAATAGGTACAGTAGGATCAAAAACCCATTGCCATTGTTCTTGAGGTCTCAGTAGAACTCATTGTCCACTAAGTTCAGCGAGACCGGTTTTATTCTGGGCTTTTTCAGACCCAGGCCAGCTGGCCTTGGTGAGTTCCCGATAGAACATCCCCCTTGTCTCAGTGTATGGGTGCACCCCTCGCGGTCCTG